AAAGTAAATGCTACATAAATCATCTGCCTTTGCTCAAGATGGCCATGGCTAGAACTGCTCTGGACAAAGTGTTTTCTTAACAAAATAAAGCATGGAGACATGGATGGATGGGTTGCTGTGAATAAAAATAAATTAAATAGCGTCGTCAGTTTGTGGTGCTCAGATACAGTTGCGTTCCAGTTTAAAGTTCAGCTTGAAAGACTGCTGAAGGTACTATTGTATGCAATTCATGTAATGTAACTTCAGCCTCTAGGGCAGACTTTTCTGAAAATCAATGAGCCAATCGCAGGGAGTAAGGAATGCCAAATCTGCACTGCAGAAATGTTTAATTTTATGACATTTTGAATATATCTTATATTGTATATATGTGAATCTATTTTTTCTGTAAATAGGAATGGAAAGCAATGTGCATTGGCCCGATCCAGCCTTTGCATCCCTATTTTTTGCTGTTATGTAATGTACTCGGTATATTGTGTATTGTACAGTTTGAAGCGGTGACACTGCTGGAGGCTAAGTTGGTTGGTGTAGATAATTACTATGCTTTGCTCAATACTCTGCTTTGCCTCCACAGGAATACATCATACGAGTCCAGCGAGGGGTATCCATGGAAAACAGCTGGCAGGTAATTCATGTGCTGATTTCTTCTTGTCAGCAGGATCTTCTGCATTGTAAACACGTCCTTAGCCACAGCATTATTGTGGCTGGTAAACACACAGATCCATCATCTGCGCTGTAATAATGACGTGCGTCACACAGCTCAGAGTGTTCAGCTGTTGTCTGAGAACTGATCCTACATTGCTCTAAAATGGATAATCGTTGGGATCAATAAGAAGGGAACCTTGACACATAACTCCTCTGATGAAGGTGTTCCTGCTTTCACACAATTTATGAGATGCAGGCATTCCTATTGTGGTAGAACTCCTGTAGGGGTTTATACAGCCCTCCTTGAACCTCCTGATGGTAAATCAGTTATGTACTGCTGTATGTTTTTGAAAGGCAAAAATGGTCAATGCTTTTTTCTGCAGTGCCTTTATAAACAGCACTGCGCGAATCACCCTGGGGCTGCCAGTGTGCCTACTAATGGCTGTAAACTCATCATTGGACAGCTCAGTTCACAGACAGTGTACAGAGCCAATCCTAATGGCTCTGTACCACATGATCGCTGTGATGACCAGTCACAATGATCACAAATGTAAATAGTGCAGTGTTTTATATTGGAGAGCCCTCCACTTTCTCTTATAACAGAGGAAGTGAGGAACTAATGAATTAATTGATCATTCAGTAGTTCCTAATCAGCGGATTCCAGGATTGTGGGATAGTTTTGCACACTTTCACCCCCTCCTCTCCTGTATATCCCAGCTCCATCCTTTCTCTGTACTTTACTGTATATTAATCCATTTACTTCTATTGTCTTGCACATCTACACAGTACATCAACCCCTTTCCCTCTATCCTATATTTATTAACCCCTACTTTTTGAAGAGCAGTTATTTGTTTTCATACAGTAAAGTAAGGTCAACCTTTTTTTTTTGTAAGCTTTTGTTCTTTTTCATAAATATATCACCAAAAGAAATCTCTATATGTCTCATTTCAAAATTAATTTGGGTACAGGGTTGCATGACCGAGTAGTTGCCAGTCAAATGATAGCAACACCTATACCTCCTCCCTCCATGCCGCCAAACAAGCCTACTTCGTTACCCCCATCAACACCCTCTCCACCTGTCCTCGCCGGCTCTTCTCCACTTTCAACTCCCTACTACTCCCCCCCCCCCCCCCCCCCCCCAGTACCTCACTCATCGCCCACAAGATTGCCAATCACTTCCAAAACAAGATTGATACAATCTGTAAGGACATCGCCAATGCTTAACCTACCTCCCCACCTAGCCTCCCTCCCACTGTAACCCCATCAACTCTCCCCTCCTCTGACCTCGCAACCACCCTGCCCCCCACCACACCTAACATCCCGCACACCTTATCCTCCCCAACACTCCGCTCCTTCAGCACTGCTACCACTGAGGAGGTCACTAAGGTCTTCTCAGAAGCCCGACTCACCACTTGCCCCCTTGACCCTGTCCCCACAGAACTCCTCCGGTCACCTTCCTTCTCCATCCTACGCTCCCTCACCCACATCTTCAATCTCTCCCTCTCCACTGGCGCATTCCCCTCCCCCCTAAAGCACGCGCACATCACTCCCATACTCAAAAAACCCTCCCTGGACCCCACCGACCTGAACAACCTTAGACCCATCTCCCTGCTGCCATTTACTTCCAAGCTCCTCGAGCGCTTGGTCTACAATCGCCTAAGCGCCCACCTCACTGACAACAACCTCCTCGATCCACTACAGTCTGGCTTCCGTCCCCTACACTCCACCGAAACCGCCCTACTCAAAATCACTAATAACCTGCTAACCGCCAAAGCTAATGGCCACAACTCAGTCCTCTTACTCCTCGACCTTTCCACGGCCTTCGACACAGTTGACCACCCCTTCCTCCTTAATAAACTACACTCCCTCGGCATCAGAGACTCCGCTCTGCCCTGGCTCTCCTCCTATCTATCCCAACGCTCCTTCAGCGTTACCTATAACGCCACCACCTCCCCCTCTCTGTTGGGGTCCCCCAAGGCTCTGTCCTCGGGCCCCTTCTCTTCTCCATCTACACCACCTCCCTCGGCAAACTGGTACACTCCCACGGCTTCAACTATCACCTGTACGCCAATGACATGCAAATTTACCTCTCCACCCCTCACCTCACCCCCTCAGTCTCCGCCCGTATCGCCCACCTACTGAACGACATATCAGACTGGATGTCGCTCCATTTCCTCAAATTGAACCTTTCCAAAACTGAGCTCCTAATTTTCCCCCCAGTCCGCGCCCCACCCTCTCCATCACGACCAACAACACCACCATCAGTCCCATCCGCAAGCCAAAATCCTAGGTGTCACTCTTGACTCAAACCTGTCCTTCCAACCCCATGTCCAAACGTTGGCAAACTCATGCAGGCTCCATCTCTGCAACATCTCCAAAATACGTACGTTCCTAACCCCAGACACTACTAAACAACTCATTCACTCCCTTATTATCTCACGACTTGACTACTGCAACTCCCTCCTCACTGGCCTACCTCATCACACACTATCCTAGCTTCAGTCTATCCTGAACTCAGCGGCCAGACTCATACACTCCGTATCCGCCACCCCCCCCCCTCTGCTAATCCCTCCACTGGCTTCCGATTGCCCAACTCATTATATTCAAACTACTAACAGTGACATACAAAGCCATTCATAACGCTGCCCCAAACTACCTCACCGACCTGATACCCGAATACCACCCTACCCGTAATCTTCGCTCCTCACAAGACCTCCTACTTTCTAGCTCCCTGGGCTCCACCTCCCACACCCGACTGCAGGACTTCACCAGGACTTCCCCCATCCTCTGGAACTCTCTACCCCAGTCCATCAGACTGTCACCTTCCCTCCTCACCTTTAGGCATACCCTGAAAACCCATCTCTTCAGGGAAGCCTACCCCACCCTCACCTAATTGCTGATCTACACTCTACACTCCTCCTACTACTCCATCCCCCACAGCCACTTCCTTCTGTACCACTATCCCCTCCCTCCTAGATTGTAAGCTCGAAAGAGTAGGACCCTCGAACCCCTCGTGTTTTGTCTTGTTACTGTATTGTCTCATGTACTGTTTCTCACTATAATGTACAGCGCTGAGCAAACCTTTTGGCGCTATATAAATAATGTATAATAATAATAATATAATAATATGCTGGAAAACCTGAAATCGATACCTTTGCGGTGCAATTATGAGCTCATATGGTTCAGATCGCACTGCACCCACAGGGAAACGCTTTTGCAGTGTGATTTGAGCCCATTCATTTTTTGTATGGGCTCAAATTGCACTGCAGAGATATTGGTAATCGGTATCAGAAAGTACTTCAGCACAAGTATCGGTGCCAGTCGATAAAACAAAAAACGATATTGGTGCAACCCTAATGATTACCTATATATTTCATATTATAGAATATGATTCATTGTACCATCTATGATACATTTACTGTATATCACTAGCTTATATTATTTATGACGACATTGTGTTTTTTTTTAATCTATTGATATCTTTCAGATACTAAGAAGATACAGTGACTTTGACATGCTCAACAATAACCTGCAGGTAAGGTTTAGCTAGATTTAGTCATATATTTTTTTTAGAAAGGTTTTAGAAGGTAGAAGAGTGAAAATTTCCCCTGCCATGATTAAAATGTTTGTAGAGTGAAAAAATATAAAATTTGTAAAAAGTTGAGAAAGGCTGCTCTTGGCCTCAGTCCTCTCACCACCTTACATGATTTGTGGGGTTCTTTTCTGTGTTTATTTCAAAATGTGCAAAATGAACTGCACTACTGTGATCCACAGGAGAGGTACAGCCAAACGAGCTTTGGCTGTACTTCTCCTTCAAAGGATAAGTTCACCTTTAGGAACATGTTGCACATTCACTCGTTTTTAGGGTGCAAGATGTGACATGTTCCCGCTCCTGCAGCTGCTCACCGATCCCATTCTGCCTGTGAGAAGTTCCCCGTACCAGCTGTCACTTTTTGAAAAGATTGCAGCCATGTAGGTTTCCACCCACACGGTCATGTCATTGTTTCGCAGAGTTCTATGAATGTAAAAGCTGCGAGCACCAACATCCTTTGTGGCCGTCAGCTTGTAGTTCTGAATGAACTACCACAGTGCTGTTGAGCATTGTGGTAATTCATTGATTTTTGCTGTCAGTGTGAAACTGCTTGCCCATACAGCTTACACTGACAGTCTGCAGGTGCCCTGCTTGGCATCAGTGATCTGCTGATTACTTCTGCAATGCTTTCCTGGCTCCGACAAAAAAAACTAATTTGTAAATGCACATTTTTTTTTACCTGCAAATAAATGTACATTTATTTTTTTTTTTTTTAAAAGGTGAATTTATCCTTTAATCTAGTGGTCAAAACAGCCAAAGTTATAATTTGTATTCATCTACTGATTATTCATGGAAACCCATTCCATGAAGCTCTCTATAGACTGTTGTGCTAATCTGATGTCCACACAAAGTTTGGAGGTCTTTAGCTATTGACTCTGCAGACAGTGGGTGACTTCTGCGCGCTGTGCACTTCAGCATGCGTTGACCCCGCTCTGTCATTTTACGTGGCATACTACTTCTTGTTTGAGTTGCTGTTGTTCCCAGTTTTCCACTTTGTTATAATACCACTAGCTGTTGACCGCGGAATATTTAGTAGCAGGGAAACTTCTTCACGGATGTGCTTATTGCACATGTGGCAACCTCTAACGGTACCACGCTTGATTTCATTGTGCTCCAGAGAGCGACCCATTCTTTCACAAATGTTTGTAGAAGTAGTCTGCATGCCTAGGTGCTTGATTTTATATACCTGTGGCTATGGAGGTGATTGGAACACCTGAATCCAATGATTTGGAGGGGTGTCCCAATACTTTGGGCAATATAGTGTATGTGCTAGCTTAGTCATGTATGACCTTGATTTGTTCAGTATGATATTCCCCATTCAAATATGACACTTAATATTAATGTGTCTTGGTCCTATTGGATTTTATGATTTGTGTGTGGATTTTGTCAAGTTGTGAAATGAGCAGAGGTCTCAGAGAGGTCGCCCACATCTGGCTGCTTTCTGTGTAGATATTTTATGGCATGCTATGTGTTCCTAGTGCTTTAGCTGCCCTACACATCATGTGTGACAGAACAAACGTATTTTGTCATTGTTTTACGATAGGTCAGAGGGAAGTGTTAATCTGAAGAGTTTTTTTATGATCCGTAGAAAAAACAGGCATCCTTCCAGTACTCGGTTATCTGTTTACAGCTCTGACCAAGGCCTGTGTGCTAGTGTCTGCTGTCCCTAAGTTGAGATAACAGGTTATTTTAAAGTGTGTTAAAAGTTAAGGCTATGAATTCCATATACCGCAGAAGGAGGGAGGGGGTAAGATCACTGGACTCATGAGAAAAAAAAATGGCTGAGACCTGACAAGATGGCTGTCACCTACAGCTTCCATGTGCTTAATGCGCACAACCATTACAACCTGCAACATCTGAAGCAAGTGGATGGTTGGTGTAGGGACAGTTGATGGAACTAGATGTACTCCATGGATATTTTTAGCTGTTACCTGTACTGTGTATTCAAATATTAAGGTGGCTTGTGGTGTCTGCACTTCTTTCAAGAAAATAAGCAAAATGTGCACGAGTCCTGGGGACCCGCTGGTTGCTTAGCAACTACTACAAATTAGCCTTATTCACAATACATAGATTTTCAGTGGGGCAGTTGTCTTCAAAGGGGTTAAAGAAAAAATGCAGGTTACATTGCTAATTATAACTTATTCACAATACTAATTGATGTTTGGTTGTGTGGCTGGAAATGAAGACCACACCATGTACCCACCCCATCTGAAACCAACTTTGGTGATGAAGTCTGGTCTGGTTATCTGATTCCAGTGGCTTGTACACATAGACGTTACAGTAGCATGTTTAGCTTTTATCTCACATTTTCTTGGGCAGCCATTTTTGACCAGGGTTTTATGGAACCCTAGGATTCCTCCAGAGCTTGCTAGGGGTTCATTGTGCTGTGGCTGAATGACCTCCTGTGTGACGATGCCTTCATAGTTCCAGAGTCGAAAGCAAGTGGCATGACACCAATAATCTTTATATCTGTTTGTTAGGGTGGCATTCGGACCACCAATGTAAGGGGCATTTTTCCCACTGACCCCTGATGATTACGTTTTTTTGCAGGGATTTCCCTTACTGTGAAAAATATTTTAGGGATTCCTCTGTAGAACAGGCTGGTGTGTCTTTCAGTGCTCTCACCTCCCTGTGTTATGGAGATAAGAAAAGGGTACATATTTTGTAGTCCTAACACACTTTCCTTTCTTATTGTGACAACACTGTTACCCTATGATAGGAAGTCACTCACTATGATATGAGCTTTATTAACAGACGTTAGTTTTATGGAATATTTAAATGAGAATCTGGTTTTGTGTCAACAGAACTGAAAAAGACAAAGAAAATGTTTTTCTGCTTGAACCCTACATTCTGTCCTTGCCATGCCAAATGTGCACTTGAAAGTAGCTTTAGAATATCCCCACTTATAAGTATGATGAAAGCTATAATAACACTGAATAGATTTATAGAACCTTTTATAGGACGCTCTAGTTTTTTGTTCTGCTCTGTCATCACAATCGAGAAGGTGATGGCACTGAAAATGCTTCAATGAGTGAGCTGCACACTCTCCCCCTGCGGTTGACCATTTCATTTTTCTCTGTTCTCGCTCTTAAATGTGACTTGTTTCAGGTGTAATTGGATTTTCAGCCTCTTGTCAGATCTGATAATCTCCATTGCTCACATCTAGCATGTAAACTGGCAGTAATTCCTCCTTTTTAACGCAGGCCACGCTTCATATCCTCTTCATTACCATGCCCTATATCTCGCACTTTGGCTTTCTCCTGGGCTGTGCTTAATGCGCACAAATTGAATTTCAGGACAGATGGTTATAAAGTAGAACACAACTGTGAAAAGAAAATACGTTTTATAATGCCACGAGTTCAGGATACAAAGTCAGGCTGGCAGAGAACATGACGTTTTTATGTCAGATGGGCAGTTTATTTTAAGATCTGTTATTCTGATATAATCTTTCAGCTAGCAGACACAGGTCCTTCTTTATCTCATCTGCATGCGGTATCTGTGTTCATTTATAAAAGCAGAAGAATGGCTTCTTATGAAGTATACAATACTTTGAAATAAGAATTTTGTGTGAAAAAAATAGACCGAGGAAAAAATCCTGTGGTAGCGGTGATAATTACATGCTTCAGCTGGGTTTATAACAAAATCAAACCATTGTAATCTAGTGTAGCAATTAAATTAGCTGTCCAAACGTCCATATGATTTTATTCCCAGGGTTATCAAAAGCTTCTTGTATTCATGTTATTAGCGATGTAGATAGATGAGCATGCTCAAGTCGTAATAGAAGAAATGCCTAGAAAACCAAAAATTACAGCTGACCTTTGAAGGATAAGTTCATCTTAACCACTTGCCTACCGGGCACTTATACCCCCTTCCTGCCCAGGCCAGTTTTCAGTTTTAAGTGTTGTCGCACTTTGAATGACAATTGCGCAGTCATGCAACACTGTACCAATATTAAATTTTTACCATTTTTTTAACACAGAGCTTGCTTTTGGTGGTATTTAATCACCTCTGGGTTTTTATTTTTTGATAAACCAAAAACTGAAAATTTTGAGAAAAAAAAAGATTTTTCTTCGTTTTTGTTATAAAATTTTGTAAATAAGTGATTTTTTTTCCTTCACTGATGTGCGCTAATGAGGCTGCAGTGATGGGCACTGATTGGCTACACTGATAGGTGGCACTGATTGGCATTGATAGGTGGCACTGATTGGTATTGATAGGTGGCACTGATTGGCATTGATAGGTGGCACTGATAGGTGACACTGAAAGGCAGCTCAGATGGGCATTGATATGTGGCATTGATGTGCACTGGTAGGCACTGATATGTGGCATTGATGGGCACTGACAGGTGGCATTGATGGGCAATGACAGCTGGCATTGATGGGCACTGACAGGTGGCTCTGCTGGTGCTACACTGATCATCAGGGCACACTGATCATTAGTGCCCTGATGATCAGTGTACATGTCCCCTCCAAGGAATGTTGATTACCGGCTCTCCTCTCGAGCTGTCAGCGTGACAGCTCATGAGGAAAGAAATGCCGATAACCGACATCCCCCTATTTACATGTGATCAGCTGTGATTGGACACAGCTGATCACATGACCGAGCCAACATCTTCGGCTCTTTCTGTTGATCGGTGATCCCTTGTGTCCGAGGGACACGGCGCACCACCGATCGCCGTGCTGCACGCTCCCTGAGCCGCGCATGTGCAGCTAGAGTGCAGTTAGAATGCTTTTGGGTGTACTCTGCATGGGTGTATGAACAGGGTGTGCAAAGATGGCGTCCACGCCGGAAGTGCGTCACTACGTGCTGGCCTACGCTTTACGTCACAATACCATGTGACTTCCTCAGGACTTCCACACCCTGTTCATACACCCATGCAGAGTACACCCAAAAGCATGAGGTTAAATGCTGTTGTATGCTGAAGATACATGTGAGTGCAATTTGAATACATTTCTTTTACTTCTTTGGAATAAACATATTACACTATGGGAAGCTGTATTCATGTCTTTTAAATGAGATATTGGCACATATCCCTACCTGTATTTGGAGAGGAGAGCCACCACATGAGTGCTGACCCCTAAGAGGGAGATCTATTTGCGGGGAGAGCAGTGGAGAGGCTGTATGCTTGGTGGATCTGAGGGTGTGATCCCATACATACGCTTTCACCCGTACGGGTCGAATCTCTGAGGTGAGAGGCTAATCTAGCCACCTGTTGGATTTTGGCAGCAGTTACCCACAGTCACTAATAACAGCACGAGTGTGTTTTTTGGATTTGGATTAAGTGGTGTTATCAACACCAAATTGGACTTTGGTGCACAGATCAGACATGTAGTTTGATCAAAGTGTGTGTTTTTTTTTTTCACAATATTGGCACAGAATATTTGTTACCTTGATTTTGGTTTTTATAAATACATTTATTTCACCAATTGATACATTTTACATATTCTTTGTATATTGTACTTTTTTTTTTTTTGGCACTAGTAGTTATTTAGCGGGTGCATTTATTATTTTTCATGCACATAGGTTTTTTGCATGTTCATGCGTTTGTTATTTCTATAGTGGTATAGACTCATCACAGGTTAATTCCAATTGGATCACCATTCACCATCATATCCTGTTTAAGATATTATTATTTGTGTCATTTAGATTATTTGTCACACTGCATGGATGTGCATTGTTTCAGTGTTGTTTCACTTATTTGATTTAAGATTGTGGCACATCTGCTCATTGTCTGAGATCTGCTCAAAGATATTGATCCGTTCAGACATTATACTAGCAATGGAGGTTTATTGTGTATGTGAGTGTGTTCTTGGCGATCAAGGGGTTAAATGTGATTACTGGTGTACTGCCAGGCAATCTGACGCTATCTGGGAGGGGCGCTAACTGACGCTAATGCTATCTGAAGTCGCTGGCGACACTAATACAGTGTTCAGCAAAAAATCTGTACACTGTACTAATGACACTTGTGAAGGGGTTAACGGGGGGGGGGTGTAAAATCAAGGGGTTCAGTGTGTCCTAATGTGTTCTAACTGTTTGCAAGTGTGCTGCGTGTACTCACTGTGTTTTCTTTCTTCTCTCTCTGGGACGGAATGTGCCTGGAGAGAGAAGATTTCATCATTTTCTGTACCTTTGTAAGTGTAAACACAGGTACAGGAAGATCCCTGATAGGACAGGAATCGATCATCTGATTTAGGCTGAACATCACTGGCCTAAATCGGATGATTGATCCCTTGGGGATCAAATCATGGCATCCGCGGGTCGGCGGGGGCGCAAATATCGTAGGAGCGAAAATCGCGTATATATACGTGATTTTGCACACCCGTGCCGCCCTGTAGCAGTATTTCTGCTATAGGGCGGTCAGGAAGCAATTAAACATAACACACACTTTTTCGTTTTTTTTTTGAGCAGTGTTGGTTTAAATATAGTATTACTGTACATAAAAAGTGCATATTTTATTCTGTAATTTGTCCTGTTTAACTGTTTCCCACTCAGCCAATACCAGATTGACAGCTGGGTGGGCCTTTCGTCCCTTCGGGTGGACGTCATATGATGTCCTACCAGTCATGGCGCGTAGTGAGGCAATCTGCGGAGAGCTGGGTCCCTCGGACACAGCTCATCACCGATCATGGTAAAGAGCCAATGACATTCCAATCAGAGCTGATCACATTTAAACAAATGCCAGTTATCAGCATTCCTTTTCTCAATGCAGTGACAGCGCTGAGGAGAGCCGATAACCAACTTTCCTGTGACAGGGAACGTTTACACTGATATTCAGAGCACTGATAGTGCCCTGATTATAAGTGCAGCCCCATCAGTGCAGAATATCGGTACAGCCCCATCAGTGCCAATCCACATCCAGCCATGCAGCATATCAGTGCCACCTATCAGTGCCTTTCAATGCAGCTTATCAGTGCCCATCAGTGCAGCCTCATCAGTGCACATCAGAAATGGAAAATGTACTTTTGCAATTTTTTTTTTACAGAAACGACAGAAATAATAAAAATGTCATTTGGGTAGAGTTTTGCATGACAGCGCAATTGTCGTTTAAAGTGCAACAGCACTGAAAGCAGAAAACTGGCCTGGACTGGAAGGGGGTGAAATTTTGCACCTTTTAAAAATGTGTAAATATATGTTAAAGGTGTAAAAATATTAATGAACAATTTTTAATGAACAAAAATTGAGAAGACAGGAGTCCCGGCATAGCTAAGACTTCAGTGCATATCACTGGGTTTGAAAGGGAGCTTAGGTGAGTATTGGGGGGGATGCTGCACAGAGAAGGTTTTTTTACCTTCATGCATAGAATGCATAAAGGTAGGAAAACCTTGAGCCTTTAGAACCAATTTAATTAGGGATGATTAGAGTAAACCACGGGTTAATAAGGGGTTAAACAGAGGAACATTAAAAAAACACACTTTTTTTTTTTACCTGCCAGGTTGCTTTCAACAGAATTCTGCTCCATGTACAGGAACACTCTTTTTAAGATGAAAAAATGCTGGATAAAAAAAAACCGCTGGTAACAGCGATTTTAGAAGCGTTAGCATTTTGTTAGCATTTTTACAGTACATGTAGAAAAAGTAAAAGCTAGAAAAAAGTTGTAAGTAGCGTTTTAGGAGCATCTAGGAGTGTTAAGCATTTTTTTCTGCTTTTAAAACGCTCCAAAAACTCTACAAAAATTTTTGTTTCTGCTTCTAGAAGCTGAAGCTCAAAAAAATACTAACAGCCTATATTAGTGTGCACGGAGACATAGGATAACACTATTTAGCTTCTAGGAGCAGAAAACAAATGCTGATTATAGCTTCTAGGAGCTTAAAGAAACGCAAGTGTGCATGGAGCCTTCATTGATCAAAGTTTTTCCCTTTTGATTGTTTTTTTAAGTTTGTTTCCAATTTAATATACCCCAGGATACAAAATAAGATACCAAGGGACGCTACTTGTTGGCTATTCTATACTTATGCTTTGAGAGTTGCCATTGAATGCCCAGGTCCGTGTAAACAGTGTTTAGTTTACATTCATCTGTCTGAACTGTGCAGGTTGGAGGGTGATGTGACTTCAGAAGTACAAGGATCGCATCTGCTCCATATCTGTGTTCAATGTATTCAATTCCAGGAGCTTTAAATTATTTTAAACTATACTATGCTTATCTACTCCTGGAGCAAAAGATCATAAGCCCCTGGACTGCGTAAGTTTAGCTAAATCATGCCCTTTGTCAGGTAGCTCATGGTTGAAACCTGATTGCACATATAGGGGTATTCCATATGCCTTTCCTTCATTCCAGGTCACCGGCAAGTGTCTCTCTCTCTATAGTTTTAGAATGCAGACCAGAGACAAGCTGAATGTAAACAAAGCAGTTGCTTGGACTTCTGATAACTCTTAAAAATGGAACTTCACTCTCTCAATCAACATTGACTATTCTGAATCCTTATGCTGCTAGCATTAGTAAATGGATAGAAAAGTATATTATAGTTGTTTTAAACAGTTTTTTTTACATTTCTTTAGTTACTTCCTAGTTTCCATGTTTAGGCAAATGGTGTCATACATCCCAGGAGTCTTCAGGAGGGGGGAGGACTGGTTTTGACAGCTAAGCACACACCCCTGCCTGCATACCTAAGCTAAGGGCAAATGGATTTCAGGAAGAAAATGCTATGTGAATTATCTGCCCTTAATCAAGATGGCCAAAGCCAGAAATGCTGGGGGGTGTTTTTGTATGTGGTTTCTCAGCAAAATAAAGCATGGAGACATGGATGGATGGGTGTGTTTGCTTTGAATGTTAACAATGAATTAACTAGTGCTTTTATTTTGTGGTGCTCATATTCAGTTTAGTTCTACTTTAAGCACACCAAAAGAAAAAGTAAAGGGCTATATTTGCAAAATTGCTTCTTTTCTCATGCAAATTATTGTTTTGCAAACTTTGTTCACCCAGCTGGAAATATTTTTCTTAGTGACATTTAACAATATTTTGCCTATACTTTGTGCTCTTATGTCTTCCCAGATCTCAGGTCTAAGTCTACCTCTTCCCCCCAAGAAACTCATTGGAAACATGGACCGTGAATTTATTGCTGAGAGACAGAAAGGGCTCCAAAATTATCTAAACGTTATCACCTCCAATCATATATTGAGTAATTGTGAAATTGTAAAAAAGTTCCTCGACCCAAAATAATTATTCTGCAAATTACACAGGTAGGTCACAAGACTGATGTTTTAAGTGCCCCACAGTGAGTCTGATTGTTGTATGATTCAGATTTTGCAGTTGTGTAATAGTCTCATTGTGTACTATAATGTCACTAAATCTACTGATCTGCATTAGCTGAAGGAATGTTATTTGGCAGGTCCTTACTACTGTGGACCAGTAAAGACAAACCTAAAATGTTTAAGGTGCCCACATATGTAATTATTTTACAGGGTATTGCTGACCTACTTTGCCGATATTTAGGCTGCTATTAGATTATCTCTGTTTCTCACAGCTGGCTGATCACTGAAGGCTGCTTTATGCGGCCTTATAATGGGTTCATCAGTGTAAATACCTAAGATAACTATTATTTTCTCTACTGCATGAATGCTGCTGACAAGATATATCAGACTTCAGCTTCACTATGATGTAACATGGCACCCATGCCCAGTTGTCAGGTGGCCTGATCTGCATCATTATAACTGCCTTAATGCTGATCTTCAGGCTCTCTGAGTTATCCTTTTAGATAGATCAACCCATCTTAGCAGGTTCTGAAAATGCACTGTATATCCTTAAAGTGCCTCCAGGGGTTTTGCTAATTCTTGCCCTTTTGTCTAGTTATTGCAGTAAAGACAAGGAAATGACCCAGTGGTATATTAATGTGTACTTTACTAAACAATAATGCTGTGTATACAAACTATTTTCAGTTACAGGACTAAAATACAAGACACATTCAATAGTCAGTCTGGATACACCAGGGGTCACTTAGCATCAGTTATTGCTGGTCCATGATTTCTGAAGAAACTGGATTCTGGGCATTTCAGGGGATTGCAGGAAAACAGGTTTCTCTCACTTGTAGTGTGGCTTTTAGTGTCCTGAGGAGTCGCAAATTGTTTTCAGCTGGAAAATAATGCAGATCCTGGACAGGATCCCCTAGCTGTGTGCGTTATATTCTTAGCACTCTGTATGTCTTGTGCTGTATTCCTATACATATAAATAGTAAGTATATGCAGCATTCTTGTTTAGTAAAGGTGCATTGAAGTGGAACTAAAGGCACTACACTTACCTCCTCTCTAATGGTCCAGGACCCTCGCTGACGCCAGTATTTTCTCACTGGGTGCCAATCTTCAGGCATTTCCATGGGCTGGCACAGGATCACTTAACTCTTGTGCATCAGTCATTCTGGCAAAGAGACAATACCAGTGATGTAAGCTGAACTGTGCATGCTCAACTAGTTTATATGCCACAGAGGTCTGCAAACAGGTACATAGGAGTATTTTATTGCAGAAGGGACATTGCATGTCTTTTATGTTATAATAGCCTGTCTCCTTGCAGTCTTTTGTTAGATGCCTTCACTCACTTTCATGGTCTACTGGGTCATTTCCTTGACTTGACTTGACTTTTGCAATAATTAGACAAACCGCATTACTGCGCAAAAAAGCCAAGTGCTTAGTTTGACTAATGAATTTCTGCTCATGTGTCTCTTCATGCTTTGATTTTGGTTTGGTTTTGAAAAATGTTAGGTGAGTGTAGTGATGTGCTATGTGCTATATACCAACTGGATGACATAGCCTCCCCCGTTGAGGATCTCCTAGCAGGCTTTAGTGTGACACCATGTAGTGGGAAGGTTGTGGATCATGTTTTGGGAGTTATGAGTGGTAACAAAGCAGTAGGTACCACATTGTAGGTAGCGCTATCAGATATGCAGGTTTAGCTGAGCGAACATGGAAGTCATGATGAACGTAACGTTTACGCCTATGAGTAATTTACATGACAGTACTGGCAGTTGCTGAATCTGCTTTCTGTAAGGTGAGAATTGGACCAGTCTGGTGTTCCTTAGAGGTATATAGAAAAGAGCAGTCCGGGAACTTTGAAAAAACAACCTCAAGAAGTATTATGGCATGGATATAGGCTGCATTATTTGTGGAAACAGAGCTGTAAAATACTCAGAAGTTTAAGTATGTTTAATCAGGACCAGGTTGGATAAAAATCAATGATTTTTTAAAAAAAAAAATCAAAAAAATCAGATTTTTTTTATTTAAATCAGATTTTTTTTATTTAAATCGGATTTTTTTTATTTAAATTGGATTTTTTTTTAAATAAAATGATTTTTGAGGAAAATATTTTACCATCCAAAGGTTATTCCATCATGAAATAAAGATTCGTTTTTTAATTATGTAGAATAAGGCTGTATATGTTTAATTTTTTTGGTAAATAAATTTCCATGAATCCATTCACAATGTCATGCTCTTCCAGAGGTTTTTGTAAGATTATTGGGCAGTTTCTCTGCCTACAAGATATTATCACAGATGCTTGATTTACTTTTGCAGTTCTCAAAACTGAATTTGACTCAGCGGAGATCACATGCCTCTTCTTCACAGCAAAAATGTTATAACATGAACAGAGTTAAGAAAAAGACCTCAATCCTAACTTCTACAAACCTATGAATACAGAATCAACCCCTTCAGTGCTAAGTTTCAAGAAGTTCAGTGAATAGAATAGAAACAATATTTTTCTGATTGTTTGGAGTGGAATAGATCTGCACAAGAAGAAAGTGAAACTAAGTGTGAGGAGGAAGGGGCTGACCTTCTATGTTCCTAAAATATATATATTTTGTTTAGCCAAATTAGTTAACAAACATGGATGTTTGTTTAAGCAAATAACATATGCTGGAATGTTATTGTTTCAGTTGAATAAATCTATTTAAATTGTTATTATTAAGGTAATGATTATTTTTCTCCTTCCTAAGTACAACAGAAAAGTTGTCCAAATATGAATGATTAACCTATTAAACTGGGGATAAAAAAACTAATATGAAAAGTTATTATTCTAAAAATCTTCATCTACTTGCATATTAAAGTTATACCAGCAAGAATTAGTCTTTATGTAGAAAACTAGGATTTAAATCAAGCCTTACTGACTAGTGAAA